CCTGCTGCTGGCCGGGCCCCTCGGGCCGGCCCTCCTGGCCCCCGGCGTCGAGCTGGTGGTCGGCTCCGAAGGTCAGTGCGGGGCCTTCCGGCGCTGGGCCTCGAGCGGCGCAGAGGCCGTGATGAAACACTTGCAGAGCAACGACGTCAAGCTGCTGCTGTCGAGCGCGAAGCAAGGGGAGCTCGTTATCCACTACGCCAAGTTGCACGGTGTGTCCGTGGTAGAGTGCGTGTCGCCGGAAGAAATGGCCCTTATCAGCAAGATCACCGGGGTCTCACCTTGCGACAGCCTGCGCGGAGAGATCGCCGAAACCGTGGTGGCAACATTTTGCCAGCCCCTGCTGCTGGGCTCAAAGAGGTGCGTTCACGTTGGCTTCGCCAGCGCGGGCGCCTTTCAGCCCCATTGCCTCGTCCTCTGCGCGCCGGTCGACAGCGTGAACGAGCAGCACGCAGCTGCTTTGCAAGAGGCATTTACCATGCTGCAGCAGCTGTTCAAAAGGGTCGATCAGGGGGAGGGAGGCGAAGCAGAACGTGGAAGCCAGGATGGGGCCGCAGATGTTTGCAGCTGGTGTTCTTCAGCTACTCGGAAGCAGCTCGTGATAGAAAATACTTCTTGTAACGGTCATGGGGTGTCTGAGCAAGGACTGGAAACACGCAGGGGTGAAGCAGAGACACGGACTGCAGAGCCCAACTTGCGGGGAAGCGGAAATCCAGTGTGTGTGCAAACAGACCTGCGAATGGCCTCAAATCCTGCCTGGCACGCCAGAGCGCTTGGTGTTGCCGCTGAAGGAGAGGGCACTTCAGGGGAGGTACAGGAACCGCAGGCAAGAAGCGGGCAGCCAGGTGACCCGCACGAGAACCATGGACGTGACTCGCTTGCGGGCAGCCAAAAGAATCACAGCAGCAATGCTAATGGAGTCACTGCGTGCGAGCACCTAGGTGTTGGCAGAGATCTGGAGAAAACAAGTTGCGATGCAGCTCCGTTTAAACACAAAAAGAGTTGCGTAAGTATTGCGCAGAGTTGTTCCAGCTGCCTCATAGAGGCAGGGTCCGTGTTGCCGGTAGGAGGTTACTTTGAAATCCTCTTGCATTATTACATTCGGTACTACGCAAAGCAGCTTCAGCAGTCAGAGCTGACTGCCATATCTAATGTAGTTGCGGATGCTTTGCTAAGTGTTCCCAGGACATTGTACAGCACAGAACGAAACGGCTTTAACAAATTCTATCTCGAAACCACAAACGCGCTCAGAAGAAATGAGCCGCTGCCTGTGAACGAGAAAGGCTTAGAATCAGTGTATTGCAAATACCAGTTAATCATCTCAGTTCTTCATTGTGTTACAGAGCTGCTTGCCATAGATTTAATAATTAGTGTTAAGCGGCCACTGCAAAAAATTGAGGATAATGACTCGGAAGATGACTGTTGAAATCATTAATAAAGAATGTTTTGATGATGTGCTTTCCTGTGTCTTCTTGTCAGATGTACGTGTTTCAAAATTCAGTGCCAGAGACCAAAAGATACCTTTTTATGCCCAGAGACCTGATGTGCTGTTTTCCTCTTAGAAGAAAAGGAGGAAAAAGGCTGATGAGCAGAGATTTGTGGAAAACTGGGTTGCGAACAGCTCAAACTTGAGTTGCAAATGTGGGAAAGTGTAGCATATTCCCACAGCAGAAGGTCTGGAGTGCCCTTTCCATCTGGAATCCTGCAGCAGATCCTGTGTGCGTGCTAGCCAAGGGCGAACTTTGCCTCTTCTGGAGGTCTGGGTGTTTGTGTGAGTTGGATGGGAGGAGTTTTCCCGGCACATTAGAAGCTGCCAGTGTGATGTGGGCCACTGAACTCACAAGTTGTAGCCGAGGGGAGGGGGTAGCCTTCGCAGCAGGCTGGACTGAATGTTATTTTAAATAAAAATATTTCTTTACATATTGTGGTTTTGGATATAATGGGAAAACTAGCTGTTGTTAGCCCATCCAGCGCTGGGGCAGGCCGCTGTAGGCCACTGCGGTGTATCCCAGTGAAGAATTTTCTCGTCTGATAGGTGCAGCGTTTTTATCCTCCGTGGAGTTCACGTCAGTCAGACTAGTAGAGTGAAGAATAATTTCATATCATGACTGGCTGGCATTTGCTCTGGCATGTTAGTTTGTGTGACATTACTTGGTACAGCTATTAATTGTAGCTATCCGGGAGTGAATTGTTCTGCTACGATAAAAGGCTGTGTGATCGTGGTAAGAGTTTACACAGGCAATAGGGCAGTTTTGCATGAAAAACCTGAGACAATTTTTCAGTTAAGACTTTGATCATTCGGGATTTTATTCTGGGTCTTTTGGAATATTTTTTTTTCTCCTTTTTTTCCCCCCTGCAGGATTTTCACCCTAATAAGGTTTGCTTTAAGCTCAGTATCACCTGGATGTCAATATACCTCCCTGTGCTGTGTCTGCTGTGGCTTCAGAAATGCGGGCTTGGTGGGGGAGGTTTCGAGTGACTGAACAGCTGCAGCCGATAACAGTATCACATTGGTTCTCTGTGTGCCATTGCCAGTATTGCATAAAACTTAAAATAATGGGATTTTTTTTGTTTAATCTGCCATTACATAAAATTTAGTGGGGGTATTTAAGATCACAGGCATAAATCATATTTGTCTGCTATACTCAAGATGCTTACAGCTGGAAATCAGAAAATTTTTTTCCCCCATTAATTTGTGCTGTTGCTTTCCCTTTTTTAGTTTTGTTGGAATAGTCTGTCTACCAAAGTTGTTTCAGGTTTTGGCAGCAATCCTTTGTTTGACTGCAACTTTCTGTTGAAAGTTTATATAGTATTTGTGGTAATATAAAATACTGTATTTTTTTTTTTCCTGACTAATACATACCTACAGACACCTGCATATGAAAACCACTGGAACTCAGCTTTTGCTAGAGTGGTTTCTTCAATGAAGGACTAGGGACAGTAATTCTATTGTTTAGAATCCTTTATGATGGGTGCAGAGGTGGGGCAGAATTAAAAATGGAGGAGAGGAAAGAAAATCACATTCAGCAGGCACGTGGGTTCTGTGTTTTACCTTTGTAATGAGCTGCTGAGACAGCTCTGCTCTTGCACAAGTTCCTGCTTTCTCCCTGCAAACTGCTGACCAGCTTGCTGGCCAGAGATCAGGGATTTGCTTCACGGCAGTCGAACAGCGGCGCCGCAGAGCGTGTGAAGCCTGGCAGCTGCAGGGGTTGTCCGCAGAAGCTGCTTCTGTATTCTGAAGCTAGGTATTCTCTAAATACAGGTCAAATGAAGAGAATACCATATCATTTCAGGTTATTTTACACAATTTGCACATCTGTACACTTTCAGATTTACTGCGGTTCCTTGAAAAAGTTTAAAACAAAAATATTTTGTTATGTGCATGGCCTTCTGGCTGTTTGATTTAAATTGTGCCATTCTTATCTTTGAGAAGAAGAATGTCCAAAAATGTTATGATATACATAACTCTTATTTTTATATGCCAAAGATGCAAGAAAGAATTTTAAAGTGATAACTTTTCTGACCTGTTTGTGATGAAACCTCTCGAGTCTGAAGGAGCATTGAGTCAGGTGCTACGTACATCATTGGCTTCTCCATCCTTGTATATTTTGTGAATGATTAGTTTTCCATTTTGAACGACTGAGTCCCCGTTTTGTGTGGAGAGCTGAGAAGATGGCATGCCTTTCCCTTGGAGAGGGATGTCTCTTCCTTGTCCTGGGCTGCTGGGGTGATGCTTGTGGCGGACGTGGCTCTTTGGTCTCCTCCAGTCCTGGAGTCTAAGCGTGTTACGAGATCAAGGTAAAAAAAGACATTAACTTTGGTCTTTGAGGGGAAGAGCAGATTTAATTCTGGATTCAGCTCTTTCTTATCTTCAGGAGTCTTCTCCAGTAACTAGCCTGGAAGTGTAGTCGTGACCTGATCCTGGGAAATACTTTGGGATCCCTGCCGTCGCACCTACCCCTAAGCAACAGACTCTGGGTACCCGGTCACCCGACTCAAGCTGTTACTGCCTGTGGGTGCCTGAGCCTCAGGTGTGCGATTATTCGTGACACCTTGCAGCTACCCCAAATTTTAAAGCTATATGTAAATACTTACTTGCCTTGTGACAGATGACATGGGGACGATTCTGAGTGATCTCTTGGCATAGTGGCTGGGACAAAGGGATTGCCTGGGGCAGCTGGGGAGAATGTGTTTACTCAGTCGGAACCCCAGGGAGTGTTGTGTTTGGGCATGCGCTAAGGTTATAAAAGGCTATGGGTTTTCCTTCTTGCACAGTTTCCCAGAGATTATTTCTATTTTGTGCTATTATTCTATTATTTTTATATTTCTAAAAATGGGTTGGCCTCCACGCAAAGTGAGAGTCAGGTGCATATGAGCATATATGTGGACTTAGGTCCAAATTCAAAATACAATGTAAAGTACAGGGATACTCATGGTAACGGCCTAAAATTAGAAGAATGGTTTTAGAAAAGTGTTGATGTCTAACTCTCCTTTCTGCAGCCCCTAGCAAACCTATATTCTACCTCACATGAAATTCATCAGAATATTTTGGAGGTGCTCCCCCCAGCCAGGAGGAGTGGAGGTGTGCTTTAAGCAAGTTAGCGTTTGTCAGGTGGCAGATTCACATAGACAGTCAGGTAGTTTCTTTTTTTTTAAATTAAAAAAACCCCACAGGTTTGAAGACACATGTGGTAATGTATAGGGAGACTAGATTGAAACGGCATCCTGCACACAGCTCTGAAGAATGAGAATGATCTGTTAACAGGACAAGGACACGCCATTTCTCTTTGTTGATTTGGGTGGGGGTTGAGTCTCATCAGACATTACAGGTGCTGGCACCGCAGTGAGGCAGCCCCCGTTGCCCAGTGCTCCTCCAGCTGCCTTTCCCCATCGCCTGGGCCCTGCACCTCACCGCCCGGCACCTTCCCAGGCGCCTCTCATTCGCTTTTTTTTTAGTAGGCATAGTGGTGTTGGGTTGACGGTTGGACTTTATGATCTTGATGAGGTCTTTTCCAACCTTTATGATTCATCTCCGACGACGCCAGCTCCCTGTTCACCACATGGGTATCTCCTGACTTCTTTATTGGAAGTTACGCAACTTAATTACAGCCTTGTATTTTCATACATGCTTAGTTGATTACCAACCTTTGGCCTTTTTTGCAGTTGTACGGAGAGTTACCGCTGGTAGGAACCAGTCGCAACGAAGAGTATTACTCTCTTGTGTAACAAACCACACACTACGGAATCGTATTTGCAAGAGGCAGTAGGGGAATGCAGTATTTTGTTTAGGAGCACAACTGTATAGTGACATAACTCTTGTAATTTTACATTGTTTCTCACTGTTACCTTTATAACAATCATCTTCCAGAGTCCACAGGTGGATGATTAATCGTACCATGTGAGAAGATTAAGGAAGATTAAACTCTTCACTTGCATATATGTCCTGGACTTCACCAAAACTGCATTCATCTGAGCCTGTATTTATTGTTTTTTGTTATGTAACAAATCTGGAATTAGCAGTAGAGACTTCCATTTTTGATTACTAAATTTTTTTATATCCTTGTTTAGGTTAATCTGTCTCCTTGTGTCTTTTTTTTACGAGGTTCTTTTAAATCTGATGTTGAGAGAAATTACTTCATTGTTCAGTTGCAAAAATCTCTTCAGTTTCATTATCTTGAAATCTAAGAAACTTTTTTTTGTCACCAGTAAAAACAAAGATTAAATGCTTGTTTTATTTACTATGCTATTTATTGCATTATTACTACTAAGACTGAATAAATCAAGAGAGTAATGTCAAATTTATAAACAGTAGCTTTGGAAATGCATTGACTGTAATTAACACAATTATAATTTTGCAGAAGTATTTTGTGTAAGGCGTCATTTGTATTCTGTTAATGAGACTAGAAATAGATGTTTGGATCTAGGATTACACAAATTACTTCACTCTGAAAACACTAAGCTAATCATTACTTCCAGGAATAAGAATTTTAATTTTAACATTCCAAAACTAAAAATAATGATAGCAAAAATGCGATAGATTTCATATATAGTACCTCATCCTTTATTACATGATTCAAGAAAAGACTGGACTTTGGAAGCGATGCTTATTCCTGTGATAAATAGAGCAGTGCTCGCTTTTTAAAAATGGCCCTGGCAAC